CAGGGAAAGGTTCTTCCCCCAGAGGCTGGTTGGGCACTGCCCAGGCTCCCCAGGGCAGTGGGCACAGCCCCAAGGCTGCCAGAGCTCCAGGAGGGTTTGGCTGATCCTCTGGGGCACAGGGGGTGACTCTCGGGGATGGGCCTGTGCAGGGCTGAGGGTTGGACTCCATGATCTTTGTGGGTCCCTTCCAGCTCAGCATATCCTGTGATTCTGTCATCCTGTGAAATGCACAGTCCTTGGTAGGTGTGCAAGAACAGAGCTTACAGCTCCCCATAGTTCCCTGCTCCCTTCCTGAGCTCACAGTGCCAACATTGCTCAGCCTGGTGAATTCTGGGCTGGGCTGTGCCAGTACCAGCCCTCCTAGAGAGCTGTGCCACCACTGCTGCTCAGGAGATGAGGAAGTGCTGCAGAGCTCAGCCCTCTCCTACTGAATTAATCAGAGACATCAGCAGAATTTTAAGATGTTGCACTGACTGTAAAAAGGTGTGGTTCTTTCCAGCAAAGAGAATTTAGAACCCAAGAGAAATGGCACTGCTGGGTGATGTTCCCATCCCTGTTGCATGTGCAAGAGGAGGTGTAGATCCTCTGTGTTCCCCTGCAAACACCTCTGCAAACAGTGCTCACATCGGATGGGGGATCAGAGGGGCAGGATGGGGTAATCCCAGAAACCACAGTTCATTTTCCAGGGGTCATCTCCAGTTGCCAAGAACACAGATCCGGACTGGAATGAGTGGGAATGCTGGGAACACAGCAGTGCACAACCTCAGCTGCCTGGCAGGGAATGGGAGACCTTTTTATTTACTCCCTGATAATTGATTATGTCCTGCATCCTCCATAGGAGCCAACAAACAGCACAAACAAAGAGGAGAGAGAGCAGAGAAAAGCATGGCTCAAATATATTGCAGGAGTTAAAAACTGCTAAGAAACTTGGGCTGAACTGGTCCCAGAATATAAATTGCGCAAGATATTTCTCCTTAGTGGAGTCCCTCAGTTCTCTGATCTCCCCCTCAAACTACATTATGCAAAAGACATCTGAAATTAGCTTTGGTCATTTCGGTTTATCACTTGTGTTGCTGAATGATGGGCAGTGGATTTCAAGGTGACTTCTCATGTGCCAGAATCATTACAGCCTGTTCCTGACTGACTGGATAGAACAGGCAGGGAGAAGATGAACTGATTCTTCACCAGCCCATCAGATAAATGTGTGGCACTTAATTTCACACACCTCATGCAAGCAGTCAATTAATGCTCCTGCTCTGGCACTGAGCACAAATTCCATACATAGGATTGGGCTTATTGCAGCATGTCCAAACCTCCATGAAAATGGAGATCAGATACAGGTTCTGCCTGAGAAATCTGCAAAGAGATGTTACCCCAGGGTCCTTGCCACACAAGCACAAAGAGGAGTAGGGACATAGTTTTGATGCTGATACAGTCTCTGTTTACTGGATAATATCTAATCAATTGTTTCCAGCCCCCTGATGAATATGATGCACTCCCTAATCCTGCAGTCAGTCTATTAGACATGGATTGAAGTCTTCAGCAGGGAAATAATATTCCCAGAGCGATGACACTCCAGCTCTGTGCTCACTTGGGGCTATGTTCTTTTTGCCAGACAATCACCCTGTTCTAGGAGTGCAGAGATGTACATAAGCAACAGGAACACAAGAGTTTATTAAGATGGTTATTGCATTGCCAGGAGGAAATTTTCTCTATTGCTAAATTCTGTAAGAAAGTGCCTTGAAATTTCTTAGAACTGGGAAAAAAATGATGCTGTGGCAGAGAACTGGGCTCTTCCTTTGACTGAGCACAGAGGGCAACATGCAGTGGCTTCCAGAAACATGTGAAGTCCCTGTTCTTGATAGAGCAGCTTTCCTCCTCACCATGCTGTGCTGGTAGCATTGGGAAAACCACAGGATAGAGGATCCCACAAGAAGGAGGATTCCACAGGATGGGGGATCCCATGCTGGTGCCAGACTGGTGCTCGAGAGCAGAGGAAGCTCTTCCTCCCCTCACGGTCACACCTTGGGCATAGCTGGGAAAGAAATCACTGCTGGGATTTGTTCTGCAGGAAGCTCTATTGGGAGGAAGCTCATGGAGCAGCAGAGTGTAGGGAATCAGTGTGCCAGGAACAGGAAAGAGCAAGAGCTGGGTTTGGTGCCCTGGTGGTTGTAATTCCAAAGTCAATACATGGGCGACATAAACACAAACAAAAGCCAAAGCACTCATTTGGCAAGCACCCCCCAGATGTAATGAACAGCACAGGACATGGGGCTGTCTCTCCTTTACGAAGATTATCAACAAATTAAGCCATTTCTAGTGAGCCAATCTCACGGCACTCTCGTTATTGCCTTGCTAAGAGCTGAAATCAATACAGGCTGTGGTCTCTGATGAGTGAAAGGACCTCAGAATCAGTATTTCCCTCGTCTGTAGAAAGCAGAGCAAGTGTTCCTGCTTCTGTTGCAGTTTCATTGCTCCTGCTGTTGTCGCCTTTACCAAAAGGAAAGGGATCACCTTGGATTAGTCAATCACTGTGGTTTAACCTCAGCTGGCAAATAAACCCCACGTAGCCACTTCACTACCCCACCTGTGGGTTGGGGGAGAATATCAGAAGGTTAAATGTGAGAAAACTCCTGGGTTGAGATGAAGACAATTTAATATCTACAACAGTCTTTAACAGTTCCACCTTCCTGGGCAGGGGCAGAGGAGGGGCAGGGACTGAGCTCTGCTCTGGGGGGACCAGGGACAGCAGCCAGGGAATGGCTGGAGCTGTGTCAGGGCAGGCTCAGGTTGGATCTCAGCAAAAGGTTCTTCCCCCAGAGGCTGGTTGGGCACTGCCCAGGCTCCCCAGGGCAGTGGGCACAGCCCCAAGGCTACCAGAGCTCCAGGGGGGTTTGGATGATCCTCTGGGGCACAGGGGGTGACTCTTGGGGATGGGCCTGTGCAGGGCCAGGGGTTGGACTGGATGATCCTTGTGGGGCCCTCCAGCTCAGCACGTTCTGGGATCCGGTGTCTCCGTGACATCAGACCTCTGGTAGGTCCTACCTCACTCCTTTCAGCCCTTTGTGGGTGTCTGAGATGCCCTGGAATGACCCAAATGGTTCAGGTGGCTCCGAGTTGAGCACTGGGCTTGTAACTGTGAGAGGAGGGCTCTGCCCACACTGCCTTTGGGAGATCATGGTCAGGGTTGTGCTGGAAGACAAGACTGAATCAGCCTGTCTTTGAGAAATGTGTGTGCAACGTGAAGGGTGGGTGACAGGAGGTTTAAAACATCCTGGGGAAGTCACAGTGGGAGAAAAGTTGTGAAGGCAGCACTGGATCCCCACAGACAGACACACAGGGAGCTGCTGGGCTCATTGCTAGGCAGCAGAGAGCACCAAGGACACAGTGAAATGAGAACCTCAGAGAGGAGGAAAATGTTCTGCTGTCCAACAAAGAAGGCTCCACACAGGAGGAAGGCAGCAGGGGAGGGGGTGGCCTGACTCTTGCAAGTATTTTTTGAAGTAAACAATTTAACCTCTAACCCAGATCTAGAAAAATATCTGTGAAATACCTGCACCGTATTTGGGTGGATTTTGTCTTGAATTTTTCTGGGAGGTGGGAGAAGTTGGCAGATGAATGGACACTGCACAAAGCCAACACATTTGCTGAGGTGAAATTCCCCTGCTCCTCTGTTATTTTGGTCAGAATCTGTGCTTTGCTCTCAACCAGCCCACGGTTCAGAGGAGCCCGGAGGGGCCTGGAGGCTGGTAAGGGCATGTTGAGCACACACTGCACTGCTCTTCATGGGCCCATTTTAGGGCTGTACAGCAGGAACTTGTAAACCCAAGGCTTGGACATCCTGCTGCTCCCCAGCTGTTGCAGAGGATTTAACCTTCTGATTTCATTTTCAGGCCATATTTGAAGTGGCCACTGGTTTTGCCTTTTGACACAGCTAATGCAACCCCATCACTGGTATGAGCTCCCACAGAGCCCACTGCAGTCTGTTCTAGCTTTGCTTCCAATAATTGAAGTTCTTGCTTTGTTAAACACTTTCACATCTGCCTATTTTAATATCTGAACACCTGGGAGTTATAAATGCAGTTCAACAGGTCCCTGTCCCTTGGAAAGCTCATTTTCCAGCCTGCAGCAAAGGAACAGGGCTCAAAACCTTGCAGATAGTCTGGACTTGAATTTTAGCATCCAGGCTCAGTGCTAATCTTTATTGCCAGTGCCCTCAGCTTTAGATCCTGACAGAGGGCACTGAGACACTGGCTGGGGACTCCCTCAGTGACCAACAAAATGAACATCAGTAGAGGGGCACCTTCCACCCCTCAGGTGTGGGGCACCCTCATGCACCCTCCAACCCTCAGAGACAGCACTTTCCTGCCTCAGGGACCTCTCAAACACCTTGCCTGGCCATCTGACTGCACTCAGATGTGCTCCCTTAGTCCCACTTCACACTCCCTGAGTGCAGGGGAAGCAAGAACATCCCAGATCCCACCAGAACCTCTGGGGCCATGGACCAGTGTTTCCCAGGAGCCTCCAGGCTTACGGCATTAACCAGAGGTCCAGCACCATGAGAAAGCAATTTGATTATCAGCCCCAGTTAAAGTGACCCCATAGGCTTGTTTCTGTGTCTCTGGGGGTGGGCAGAGCACAGTTTGTGGGGGTGAAGGTGGGTGATGATGCCTGAGCTGGTTCAGGCTGCACTGGGGTCAGTCCACAGCCCCCCTTGGTGAGTGGGTGACTGACAGCCCAGACCCCCCTCCCCCCCGAGCTCCAGGTGCTCTGGAGGCAGCAGTTTGCTTCTCTCCATAATCACTGTGGACAAGGAAATATCTCCACAGGATCCATTTCTCTGCTCTGCCGGTGCCAGGTTGAATTGTGTCCAGGATCCTGTCACTGGGGCTGGCTCTCGTACAGCTTCCCTGCCTGCTGGAGTCTGGGAATGACTTGCTTCTCTCCTCTCAGTTTGGTGCACACCATAGACCTGCCTTTCTCTGTTGTTTTTTTTGCAGACAAGCCACGAATGAACAACATCCTCACTTCTGCCACCGAACCCTACGACCTGTCCTTCTCCAGGTCCTTCCAGAACCTCTCTCACCTCCCACCATCCTATGAATCTGCTGTCAAGACGAACCCGAGTAAATATTCTTCTCTGAAGAGACTAAGTAGGTGTCAGCTCATTTCATTTCCTTTGTATCTCTTTGTTTTGAGCCTCACTGGGCTCAGTGTTCAGCCAATAACCTCCTCCCTCTGCTCTGCTCTCCCGGGTTGGCATCTCCAGTAATGATTCCTTTGGCTGTCACTTCCCATCAAGGATGAGGAGAGGCAAAGAGTCATTTCATTACTGAGATAGTACATGTGCTTATTTGCTTACTGACCTCCTTGCTGTGCTGCCTCCCACTCCTCCACCTCAGTCTGCTCCTGATGGAGTCCGCTGAGAATCCTTTTGTTCTCTGCTGGAATCCAGGAGAGTTGAGGGGACTCAGAGCTCACCCTGGCACCCCAGGGCAGGTCTCTCCATCCACAGGAGTAGCTGGAACCAGATAACAACAGAAAGCTGCTGAGATTTTTGGGAGCATCTGTGTCAGCAGGCGACATCCCTGGGCAGTGCTGTGATCCCTGTGTTCCATGGGGTGTGTGCCCGGAGCTGGTCTTGGCCCGTGCCCTGCACTGATCCAGTGGTTTGGGTATTCTAGCACATTTCTCTATTCAAACAGGTCAGGATCTCTCCTGTCTTGCTCTTTCATGCCCTGTTCTGCCAACAGTCTTGTAATGCTGCAGTTCATCACCTCAGTGATGACAAACTTCAGCTTCAGTGGGATTATGAAACAAGGGATTTTTAAGCAGGCAAATGCTCTGTCCAGACTCACCCTGGGTCTGCAGTTGGATGTTTCCATGAGCAGTTTCTGGATGCAGCCATGTATTTCCAGTGCCTAATTTAGAGAAATAACTTAGGTGTTTATACTTGCAATACCTTCACTGAGAGAAGGTGAGGATGAGGAGCAGATCTAACTTCCTTAGTCTGAATAAAACTTGCATTCCCAATTTAGCCAGTTAAGTGAGACACACACAATTAAGTGGCAGGGAAGCCCTTGGATTTTCCATAAGATATATCTGTGGAATATTTTTCAGAAGAGACAAAGGAAATGTAGCACAAAAAACCCCTCAGTCCACTCTTTGACACTTCAACATGGGACTACATACCTGTTTAATATTAAGTCAAATGCATTTGATGAGCTTAAAAGTAAACGTGCTTAACTGTGTTGGAGAACAGAGCTCAGGTATTTGGAGATTGGAACCTGCCACCTCCATCATTCAGTTTGCCATATGCCATGTTTCCCTGGAAACATTTGGATCTTACACTCTCAACCAAAAGAATTTCCCCCCCACTGCATCCTACTGATGAACAGTCCATGTTCATGGGTGTAATATCTGATATTGGAAACCCCTTGAGATCGTGGCACTGTAATATTACTGCTTCAAAATATCCCCGTTTTGAGGTGAGAATTTATTTTCATTTCTCAGCTGAAATAAAAATTTCCCAACACACGAAATATGCTCCCTGGAGACACAGGAACAGGTTCCCCAGAGAAGCTGTGGCTGCCCCATCCCTGGAAGTGTCCAAGGCCAGGTTGGACAGGGCTTGGAGCAACCTGGGCTAGTGGAAAGTGTCCCTGCCCATGGCAGGGGGTGGCACTGGATGAGCTTTAAGGTCCCTTGTAACCCAAACCATTCTGGAATTTTACAATATCATTCTATGGTTTCACAAACATTTGTCTAAAATGACAAAAGTTGTGTTAAGCTGCCAAGATGGAATGTTCTCAACAATGTACTGAGCAGTCAGTGCTCCTCTCCTGAGCTTTTCCTGACCCTCTGGGCCATTCCTATCCCTGTTACTGTTCACTGGATCCCTGAGAGTCAACATGAATCCAAGAACATCAGAGTTTGTCTTTGGCCATTGCCTTGAGTGGGGTTCAGTGACCCCCTTAAATATTCAGCACCATCAACCCTAGAAGTGGAAACACCAACTATTCCCCCTCCAGGGCAGGTGTGGACAGAGCTCAGGGATCTTTGCAAGGCACCAACGCATCCTCTTGCAGAGCACCTGGTAAATGCCAAACCAAGTGCTTGGCACTGTGTTTTTTGAGTAACTAAATAGACAGTTTGGACTCTGAAAGTGCCAAGCACTCCCAGCTCCCACTGGGATTGAATACATTCAGCACCTCCAGAATCACTGAATCACTTTCTTACAGCTGCTCTACTCCAGAGCCAAAAGAAAACAGGCACAGAGCTCCCCAGAACTTCCTTTGGAAAATACCAGCAATATAATTTTCTTATTCCATGTGAAGGAGCTAAAGGTAACACAAAGAATGTAATATTTAAATGCTGGAGTTTGAAAATTATTTATTAGGAGTTCATTGTTAATATTTAAAATTACTTCTTTCCAATGAACTCTCTGTTAAGGTTAAAAAAATAATAAAAAAAAAGTTAATGAAGAGCTCCTTAACAAATAAAATATTTCTGTTTAAGTAAAAAAAAAGGCATTAGATACTTTTTAAATCTATGTTTCAGCTGTTGGTCTGCATTTCTTTGGGTTTACCAGGCAGGCAAATGTTACTTATTTTCCTCCAGTTAGCAGAGACAGGTACAGAAAGACAATTTCTGCCCAAGAATATTGAATAATCGATTAAGAAAAAAATAAAATTTAGTATCTCTTTGCCAGAGATAAGGACAGAGCTCAGCAATGGCACGGTCAGCTCCACCTCAGCCACCTTGGCCACAGAGCCATCAGGGATCCTGTGTCTGTTCAGTGCTGGGATCGGGGAAGGACAGTCCCCTGTGACCCCTCGGAGGGTCCCAGTGTCTCTGACACCAGAGCTGCTCTCAGGGGCTGCCCAGCTCTTTGCTGGATAATAACCCCAGTTTATGATGCCCAGGGGGGCCAACCCTGTCCTGGGGGCATCAACCCTGTCCTGGGGGCATCAGGGAGGGGATTGTCCCGCTCTGCTCTGCCCTGGGGCGGCCTCACCTCAACATTGGGGCAGTTTGGGGGACACAATGGAAGGAAGGGATTGAGCCATTGGAGAGTGTCCAAAGGAGGGTAATGAAGATGGGGAAGGGCCTTGATTTGAAGGCCTGTGAGGACACTGAGGGCACTTGGTGTGTTCAGCTGGAGAAGAGGAGACTGAGGGGAGACCTCAGTGCAGTTCCACCTTCCTGGGCAGGGGCAGAGGAGGGGCAGGGACTGAGCTCTGCTCTGGGGGGACCAGGGACAGCAGCCAGGGAATGGCTGGAGCTGTGTCAGGGCAGGCTCAGGTTGGATCTCAGCCAAAGGTTCTTCCCCCAGAGGCTGGTTGGGCACTGCCCAGGCTCCCCAGGGCAGTGGGCACAGCCCCAAGGCTGCCAGAGCTCCAGGAGGGTTTGGCTGATCCTCTGGGGCACAGGGGGTGACTCTTGGGGCTGGGCCTGTGCAGCGCTGAGGGTTGGACTGGATGATCCTGGTGGGCCCAGCACATTCTGGACTCTGTGACTTGCTCCCTGCTGTGTCCCTGGGCAGTGGCACTGCACTGAGGAGGGAGCTCCCACCTCTGGGCACTCACCTCTCCTGCCATTGCACTGAGAAAGCAGCACCGTGGCTTCTCCTCCTTCCAAAGCAAAGGCTTGAAGGTGCCCCAGACCTTTTAGGAGCAGTAGGAACAGGTTGCTGACTGCATGGAAGCCACTCAGAACCAAGTCCCATGGGAGCTTTCTGCTTCCAGGGCTCTTTACTTCCCCAGCTCTTCCTTCAGGGCACAGACAACAGGAAACCCCACCCGGTGTTTGCTCCCAGAGGTAGGAAGGTCTCTGAGGGGCTGGGTACCCCCTCCATGGGAAGACCTACTCCAGCCCTGCCCTGGCAGCCCTGCAAGGTGGGAAAAGCAGTGGTGGGTGGGTGTGGGAAGCCCTGGCTGAGCAAGAGCTGCCCTATTAATTCCATCCTGCCCAGAGCTCCAGGGAATTGCTCTTTCCAGCTAAGTGAGAAAGGTCAGTCAGGAAGGAAGGTGATATTTTCAGGCATATTAAACCACTTGGTTTTGGCTAAAGTATCTTCACAAATGACTAGGCAGCTTCAAAATGTTAAGGCCAATTAGAACAGGAGGTACAAGCCAGAAGAGAGAATATGTTGGAGCTGCAGAGAAAGAAAAACAGAGGAACTACCTTTAAGAAAAGCAAAGGAATTACTCTAATGGCCTCACACACACATACACACGTGCACCTACTTTCACCACGTTAACTACAACCACAGGAAGCAAAAATCCCCTTGGCTTTTCCATATTCTCTTCCCAGATCACCAAAAATGTTCCTTGTTTCTCTAATTCCAGTGTCAGAGGAGCTGTGCTCTGCCTTAGACATGTTGAAGTGTAATGTGTGAGTAAGAGCACTTAGAGAGCACTTATTTGGGGATTTCCCCACAAATGGGAGGAAAAAAAACCCAAAAAGCAGTCTAAGGGAAAATCAGTTTATCCTAAAATCAAGGCGGTTGAAGCACTCAAATATTCCTGAAATTTGGTGAGATCAGCCCTGGTCAATGTTCCTGAAACTGCCAAAGGAGGAAAGAAAGGGCAGAAAAAAACCCAACTAAAACCAATGAAAAAAGCCCAGAAAGTGTGCAGAAAACATGATTTCCAGTTCCAAATGTTTGAAAAACACAAGTGATGACCCAGAACAATGGGATTGACTTAAAAAAAAGAGAAATTTTTGTCAACCAGTGATTTCTTTTTGTCTGCTCACAATTTCTGGCCTTTTGGAATCCACTTTTTTGAATTTTTAAGCACATCCTTGATGGAGAAACATGGGATTGTGCAGAGTCTCCATCTCCTTGATGGAGAAACATACTGGTAGTTTTATTTTGTCTGAAACTACAGTTGTCTGTTCTCATACCAATGACAAGATAAGGAGTAGTGGTATGAGAGCCTCAGTGTCCCAGTATAATGAGGATGAGATGGATTAGGCTGGAAGGTGGCCCTGCCCGTGGTAGGGGGTGGAATGAGCTGATCTTTAAGGTCCCTTCCAATCCAAACCTTTCTGTGATTCTGTGATTTCTGTTCCCGGGGAGAATTTGGTTTCAGCCAACTATGAAACCAAACGTCCCCAGTTCCCGCCCCAATCCACTGGAGCCTCCAGTCTCCAAAGCCTGGGGCTGTGTTTGGTTCCTGGCTGTCCCTGGGTGCACAAACACTGTGGTTACAGAGCTGTGCTGAGCTTGTCTCTTGTCTCTTGGCACGTGAGTGCTGCAGAACCTTGGCCTCCTGTCAGGCTCCGTTCTCCACCACTGGCTCACACTGACACCACCATTCAGAGGCAACAGCCTGGTAAAAGTCTGTCTGGTGCCTGCCTAAACCAGCTTGTTGTTCATGAGAAACTGCTGTTTCAGCTTTGATTCCTTTGAGGTGGAGATGTGAAGCGTGTCTACACCAGGAAACCTTCCCAGAGTAGCTGTGCCAACATCCACATGTCTCCCTCAGCATCGTGGGGGCACAGCCTGGGTAAGCTTAGAATAACCTTTGAAATTAAATCAGCTCCCTAAAAGGTTTAACCACGGCCAGCAAATGGCTGTACAGAGTTGTACATGGGATGGGAGAGGGGAAAAAAGGATATTTTTAATGCTACTAATGGGAAAAAAAAATTTAAGGTGTAGAAATGCTGGGGGTTTAATCTAAATTAGCAAGGAACAACTTCAAACCACTTTCATCAGCTGATTCACCTCACTAAAGCAGCCTCAGACGCTGCAAACCTCACATAAGCTGGTTTAGCTCCTGCTGGCAATTACCACAGCCAGGTATGGGCATCCAAGCACATCTCCATTTGGGATGTTCTCTGCTTTAATTACATCTATTTAGAGCCACTTGGGCAAATCCAGTGGAACTCCTCTCATCCAGAGCAGAGGCCAAGTGCCAGAGTTGTAATTGCTTCATTTCTATTCTGCAGCCAGCCCCAAGCACCAGTACCAAACCTGTGCACACAAAGTGGGGCATTTCTATAGAAATAAACTAGGGAATAAAAATGCCTACACTTACTGTGGCCATATGGAATTTCCCCAGTCCTTCTCAGGCTTCATCAAGGGTGATTTTAAAGACACAAGTGTTTGAGACCAGGGGAGCTGGTGTCTGATATTTGCCATGAGATATTCTTCCAAGAAGTTTTTGATTGCAAAAAACAAAGACTCATTCCTCCAACATGTGCTCTGGAGAGCAAATCCCAGCAGCAGGAAGTGTGCCAGAGCAGGAGAGCTGTGGGTGACCTCAGCCTTGGTGGTGTGTGGGCTGCAGAGAAGAGGTTGGCAGCAGTGATGGTGCCAACAGGCCCTTGTACGTGTTCTCAGCTTGTAAATTTGTGTGCTGAGATGGGAACCAACCACCCTGCTCACAGATCTTCTGGACTGTGCAAGGGCCCATGAGGAGCAGGGTCCAGGGAACAGTGAAGAGAATGTCTGGGAGAGGAGATGAGTGTCACAATCACACATAAGTGACATCATCCAGCACAGGGTGCTGACAGTTCTCGAGGGCTGGAGAAGACATTCAGGCACCATTGGGTAACTGTGGTCTTCTCTGTGGGGACCAGTGACAGGACCTGAAGGAGTACTCTGAAGTTGTGTCAGGGCAGGCTCAGGTTGGATCTCAGCCAAAGGTTCTTCCCCCAGAGGCTGGTTGGGCACTGCCCAGGCTCCCCAGGGCAGTGGGCACAGCCCCAAGGCTGCCAGAGCTCCAGGAGGGTTTGGCTGATCCTCTGGGGCACAGGGGGTGACTCTTGGGGATGGGCCTGTGCAGGGCCAAGAGTTGGACTCGATGATCCTTGTGGGTTCCTTCTAACTCAGCAGATTCTGTGATTTTTGTGAGCAAACTCTGGGATGGTGTCAGCACCCCCTGTGCCACCTGAGCTCTGCCTCATGGGACACCAGCCAACTGTCTTCAACTCTCAGCCAACGTGGTGCATCAAACCAACAGATTTATGGCTATTTCAGAGGAGAGAGGAAATTTCCACCCATATTTCACTTCCAGGCCTGTTGGATGCCTACAGAAAGGGGGACCAGCTCCTTACCCAATTCTGGATTGCCCAGACTGTCCTGCAGCAGAGCTTTGCTCTTTTTGTCACTCAAACAACGTTCAGAATCTCCATGCACGTGAAATTCTCCTCTTCTACCGTCTCATACTTTCCCATCTCACATCACCTACTACAGAATGAAATATTGAGCTGAGAAAATCAATGGTGTCCCTCTTTATTATCATTATCATATATCTTTATCATACTTGTCTTATAAGCAAAAGACTTTCCAAAGGAATTTCATGTCAGGTCCCAGGAGCTGGCCAAGGACGTGTAGGACAGGATGTCTTTGCCAATCAACACTTAGCTCAAGTTGGTAGGGAAAGTGCACACTGGGTAGTGTGGGTGTGTGTTCCCAGCTCTGTGATCTCCATCCCAAGATGCTCCTATGAGGTTACTTCCCAAGAAGATTGTTTCCTCTGGAAGGTGGAGAAACTTGCTGTACCTGTCCATGTGGAGCCCCCTTCCTACACACCAGTGAGGGTTGTGTTGTCTTCTCCAAGGAGAGGAAGGCTGCCTGCCAGGTGTCTGGGGTGGGGCTCACTCTAGGGTCTTCTGGAGCCAGAAAGGATGGAGGTGCTTCTGGACACACCAGGGAAACATCTCAGACAAAGAAATGAGGAAGGAGGCTCGTAGAGGTGATCAGTGTTGAGCATTAAACATTCTCCATCCCCTGACCCCTGACAGAGGCCAATGTTGTGCTCTTCTCCTTGTGACAGAGACCATAATGGTGAGGGACTGATGTCCTGTGCTTTCATCTCTGCAGCCACAGGCACAGAGGGAAGTTCTCCCTCCCCTCAAGTACCCCTCACCTCCTGACGTTAATGACATTTCCTTACAGGCTGCACTGGGCTTGAAGCCCAAGAACTGCTAAGCCTCCTTCCAGGTAAGTAATCCCAGTTTACAGCATATGAACATCAAAGGGGTTAACCAGGAAGTTTTTGTATTTCTGTTGTTTAAAAAAAAAAAAAATGAAACAGTTGTGGAATTGCTTCTTTTAATTAAATGTTGGTTGAATCAGGTCATTCCAGCTGTAGGATTTAAGTGATCTAACATGGTACAGCTGCAGGAGCCAACACTGAATCTCTAGTGTTTCTCTGAAAGCCAAAGAGAGGAGGGTGAGTGTGTGGAGGGGGGTGATGAGTTTCTGAGCAAATGAGATCATTTAAGATGCAGAAACAGCAAACTGAGCATGAAACATTCCATGGGATAAATTCTATCAAACGAAGGTGTCTGAGAAAATGGAAACTGAAACCTTAGGCAGGTGTTTCAGTGTCTCAGTGAGAACACCCAGTGACTACCAAACCTGTTTTGTGATCACATTTACAACTATTCAAAAATGGTAATTAAAAATGTGATGATGTCACTCATGGACTCCAGGGAACATCCATGTCTGAGGCCAGAGATGAGCTGTGCATTCCCTCAAATGGGGGACTGTCCTGCTCAGCTCACCTGCCCTGTCCTTGCTTTAGAAGTGTATTGAGAAGGTGACATTTGCTACTTTCTCCATAACTTGCTTTTTGTGTAAATCACGTCATACCAAGTCTGGACTGGATGGTATGTGGGATCTGTTGTTTCATGGTGCAGGAAGGTGGGTGTTTGCACAGGGACTCCCCCCATCTCCGTGCAATTCAAACTCCTTCCTCTGCCACAGGCCCGTGGTGACACGACCCACACAGGGCTGGGGTCTCTCTGACGGGCAGCTCCTGACGTGGGTGGTTGATGGTCCCTGAGGTGTCCCCAGGAGGCCGCTCCAGGGCTGTGTGCTGTGCACAGTTCCCTTTCCCCCTGTGGAACAGCACTGTGACATTCCTAAACCACTCCCTTTCCGTCCCCACAGCTGACAAGGAGGCTGACGAGTACTACATGAGGAGGAGGCACCTGCCCGACCTGGCGGCGCGGGGGACGCTCCCCATCAACGTCATCAAGATGTCCCAACAGACCAACCACCGGGACAGGCCCCGCCGCCCCATCCGGGCCATGTCCCAGGACAGGGTGCTGTCCCCTGAGAGGATCATGCCCGAGGAGTTCAGCATGTCCTACGAACGGATCCTCTCAGATGAGCAGCTGCTGTCGGCCGAGCGCCTGCACTCCCAGGACCCGCTGCTGTCCCCGGAGCGCTCGGGGTACCCTGAGCAGTCCATGTCCCGGGCACTGTCCCACACGGATGTCTTTGTGTCCACACCCGTCTTGGATCGCTACAGGATGTCAAAAATGCACTCCCATCCCAGTGCCTCAAATAACTTGTACAACACTCTGGGGATGACCCCCACCTCGGCCAAGCGCCAGGCCTTCGCCTCGCGCCGCCACAACACCGTGGAGCAACTGCATTACATCCCCGGCCACCACCACCACTATCGCACGGCCAGCAAGACTGAGGTGACTGTGTGATAGGACCTCGGGCCTTGTACATACTCTGTAAGGACTGGGGGTGGCCACAGCACCCCACACTGCAGTGACCTTATAGGCCAAGGTAACCTCTACTAACTCAGTGTCTGCAAAGACTTCTCTGACAGTCCCATCCACGTTGTTTTTAAAGCCACCCCTCCATCGGTGACATGAGAAGAACCCAAGCAAGCCAACAGGCAATAGTGAGGGATAATAGAGGAAATTTTCCTGATGTGCATCAGTTTCTGTCAAAGAAAGCCATAGTAATCGATGGCTCCTTCCAAGGGCTCACCTGCATTCATCTCATTGTTCCCATGAATTTAGGACTTTTCCGTTGCTCCAGGTAGAAGCAGTCCCATGCAGCCCGAGGTAGAGAGGAGGAAACACAGCACCCCACCCTGTCAGGAAGGGGCTTGTCCTCAGGTTTGGTCTTTCTGTAGCAAGGAGGGAAGTTCTGGCTGCTGGGGGGTCACCCCCAGGCTGCTCGACATCAGTCAGCACCCACACATCTGTTCCTTGTCACCCTTGGAGCAAGTTCAAGGGCAGACTTTCCTTGGGGACTGGCAGATCTAGGGACAAGAATAGCCTGGCTGAGAAATAAACTTTTAGTATATATTAAATATACTCATAAGATACAAACATACTAGTGCCTACAAATCGCCTGCTCTCTCAGTGTAGGAAGTAGTGGGGTTGATGTGTTCAATAAGCACAAATACGCTGAAATGCTTGTTTCCCTTTCCTCCACTCATCATTCTAATATCTTGGTGTCTCCAACATGTAAATAGGAAGGAGGAATAGGGTTTCTCTTCCTCCAGCTTCTTGCCACTGCTGAACCTAAAGCACCAGAATTCGTTCAGCTTCGCCCTGCTGAGCCGTGCTGGGGAGGTCCCAACTGCACCAAGAGCCCTGCAAGGCCAGGCTTCCACCCCTGCCCCCGAGCCTGGATCTCTCCTCAGAATCTTTTCCTGACAGCATTTTCCACTGGCCCAGGTCCCCTGTTTCTGAACACATTTTCTCCTCTCAGTTACAACCCAGAACTCCTTATGTAGCAAATCTTTCCCCAGCCCTCAGCAGAAGCACAAGACTGGGGGTGTCTCTGCCCAAAAGCAGGTCGGTAACTTTCCATGATTTTCTCTCCATGTGATGGCCTCCCAAGAAAACCTTCCAAATTCCAATTCCACTGAGTACCAATCCTAACCATGAAGACAGTTACATTTCATGCATATAAATTATATATCCAGCATAATTATAATTAATGGGCATGTTGTATATCTGATATAATGCTAATTAGATACTGTATATTTGTAAAATCTTTAAAACAGAGACTCGTGGGTCCAGAATTTGTGAGGGTTTTATCCTTGGCTTTCCAGCCAGATTGGGCTTTGCTTTGGTTTTTTTTTGTTTTGGTTTTGGTTTGGTTTTGGTTTGTTGTTGTTGTTGGATTTGGGTTTGGTTTTGCTTTATTATTTTTTTCCCTTTTATTTGTGTTCCTATCAAATTCTGTAGAACTAACTCACATCAGAACACGCTTCTGTGACCGGGAAAGGGTCTCAGAGGTTTGGAAGGCCAGCCAGACCCAGTGCTGTAACTCCTGGTGCTGGACCCTGTCCATGGTGTGCCCTGGGGGTCCCACCACATGCTGTCCATGCTGCCCGTCCCACCGGCAGCCACGCTCCCTCCTCTGGGTGACACGACTGATTCAGGCTGTAAGAACATTCCTGGACACTTCTCCTCATGTCCTACATTTCCAATTAAATCTTTTCCTACATTAAACCTCACAGAACTCAGCTCTGCCCTGGTCCCTCCCCTCAAATACCTCCCACCTCCCGGCCTTAATGATGCTCCCAGCTCCACATGCCAAGTCCTGTAGCAAACAATGATTGGGAGCTTGAGTCTCCTCTGGAGGTTTATGAGTCTCCTGTGGAGGTTTCTGATGCAGCACCAGGTTTGTCAGGGTAGGCAGGAGGAGCACATGTCCTTACCCCAGTGGGATTTAGAGGCAGGCCTTGGTGGGGTGGCCACATGGGTCTGCTGGTATGAGTTCCAGAGCTTTATTCTGCCCTATCAGATGGAGACCGTGCTGAGAAGGATCCATCAGTGAGAGGTGCTGGGGCTTTGTTTGACGGAAACTGAGCTGGGAAGGAATAAATAACAGTCTCCATGGTTCAGATTTGGCAAAATCATTCTGGGCAACAACCAGAACTGTCTGTGGATCAGAGTGGCAGTTCATGGCATGGGAGGGATGAGAGAGAAAAGGCTCACACCTCCTCTCCTGACCCTTCCCCTGAGGGACACCACTCTCCCCTGACTACCTCCAAGCTCCTCAGCTCAGTCACTGGATATTTCCTCCCAGAAGACAATCCCTGGGACAATATTGCCCTGTGCTGACCTTCCTACAGACCAGTTTGCGACTCTTGTGAGGACAAGAGACACTAAGAGGGCTGATGGGGAGTCAGTCCCTGATGAGGTTCTGGGGCTCTTCCATTCACTCTTGGCCCAAGAAAGGCCAGGATTTTCCCTCTTCAGGCAGGGAGACATGAACACTGTGGGAGAGGAGAGGCCACCCCAGAGTCTGCGGGAGCTGTGGTGGCAGAGCCAGAGGAGCGGAGGTGGCAGTGTGAGGCCATGGGTAGGTGAACACTCCTCTCTTTCCATTCCCATAGCTGTCTGTCTCAAGCTCTAGTCCTTGTCTAAATGTTCCATTTATGAGCTAAGAAGTTGCTGGACCAGATGCAGATTTGGGAATTTTTCCCTCAAGCAGCCCATGCAGATGCTGAGCTGTGCCCGTGTCATTTGACCTCGGTGTCTTCTCTTATTCTGCCTGGCAAATATCACCAAGCCCTCTGCCAATTGTCCTGTCTGGGCAACAACCCTCCAAAGAAAATTAAGCCCCATTTCCTTGTATTTTCCACCCACTCAACTGTTTTAAGCAGATGTGTCCCACCCTTTTTGGGCCAAATCTCTTCAGGGACTCTGCCACCACCACAGAAAGTTTTCAGCAAATTTTCTTGGGAAGGAACAATGCCCTTGATACCAGTGGGGCACGCTGTGCTCCCATGGCTTCCTTTGTGTGCTGGGCTGGGTTGGGAGATGGGGCAGTGATGTTCCAGCACACACAGGTGTTCTTTGGTTATTTTTTTTCCTTATTCCTCACTCTGGGAGTTTGTCACTGAACAAATACTTGCTCTGGGACCGGATGTCGTGTCCCACAGCCTGATCCCAGCACTTCAGTTCCCTGTGATGATAATGGGAACACCTTCCAATTCCACAGAGGCTTCAGACCATGGTGTGAAGGGCTTTGAGACCCTCTCACAGCAGAAACTGTAGAGCAGCAAAGTGTTTTTATGACTATTGTTTGTCATTGTCCTGACACATCGTGTGTGATGTGTTACAATCCTGTCTGCCCAGAAAGGGAGTGCTGGGGTGGGCAGATGCCGCATCCCAGATTTCCCATTGCTCTCTTTCTGGCCAGGGTCCCTGGGAGGCACAGCTCCAAGGGGTGCTGCCACCTGCACTGGGACCTCTCTGCTTTCTCCTCCTCATGTCTGAGTCACCACGACATCCTGCACTCAGGAGAAAGGCAGGAAGCAGCCACATTCCTCTGTACAGTGAAATAGAATCTGCCTTGATTAATCCAATATACTCTGAAGAATTGAGCTTTTTCTTCAACCCACAAGTGGAAACACCCCTGTGGAGTGTCCAGTTCCCTGAGTGCATGTGCAGGGACCAGGAGATGGGGTATAGAAAAGTTTATATTATTTCCTAAAAACTGATCATTATTTGCATTCCCTGAGCAGCAACAAAAACCAGTGCTCTGCACTGGGATTTATACACCGATCTCATGTGTGTGTATGTATATGGACACAAATATATATACACATACACACTGCAAAATGCAATCAGTAATTCTGACTGACCCTGTACCAATCTAAGCTTCAAACTACATCAAATCATTCTTTGAAATGTGGCAAACTACTTTTAATGAACGACACAGAGCACCACATGGAACAGAATTTTGACATAAAAAGTCTTCTAATGCCAGTGACTCATGTTTTAAGGAAAAATGAAATATTTTTCAATGTTTTCACGTTCCTTTTATAAATGATGATCTGTTATTTGGATATGGGAGTGGGTGGGAAGAAACAGGGACAGTTTTCTGGTAGCAAGCTCTCCTTCCCTGGCCTAGATTTCATTTCTGTCTGCTGCTCTGGAACCTGGCTGGCTACAAAGCTGGTCCCATGAACCTGGGCTTCCTGCATGCATCTTTCTGTTCCTGTATCCATCAGAGGCATTCCCACCAGGAATCTGCAAGAGCCTGGCATGTTTTTTGTAAGAGATGGACAGTTCCTGGGAGCTGGGACATGTCTTCACCTTCTTCCACCACTGCAACCAAACTCATCATGAAACAGGGTAACTTTAATTGTGTTTGAAATACGTGTTCTACTTTGTGATCAATTTGTCATCTTCAGTTCATGTGATGGAGAAACAGCTTGTGTTGGTTTTGTTTCAGATTTAGTGTTCATGTGGAAGGAGGGACTCTGCTGAAATATATCTCACACGGACAGGTCTCGTGTCGGGGTATATTTCCAATGAGTGAAAAGTAAGGGGAATATGTGAGAAAGGGGCAGAAATATTTTCATACCAAGTGTTGTAGCAATAAGGCTGTGCTGGGGCTGCTCCTCAAAGAGCAGCCACTTTGTGCTGTCTGTCAGCAGACGGGAGAAGGGACTGCTCCCAGTTCCCAGAGCCGGCTCTTGGGGTGCCCTCACCAAAACCCAGCTGAGAAAGCCCCTGTGGCAGCCCAGGGGTGAGGGGAGAGCTGCAGGGTCCCTTTGGGGCGTGGTGGTGTCGATGTGAACGAGTTCTGTGCCCTCAGCACCCCCTGTCTCCATGGCCACACGATGTCCGGGCGGTCTCCATCCCATTGCCCCCCCGACCCTCTGCCCCCTGTGCCCCCCTGCGACCCCCTCAGACATTTTTGTAGCAAGAATTTCTTGGCTCTGAGAAAGACACTTCTTACTGTAATATTTTTAGTTTCGGGGGACAATATTTCCTAAGAGGGATTAAGTGGATATTTTTGTGCTTTAGCCCAGTTTATGGATTCCATGTTTATTATACAGTAGTACTGAAGAGGAAGTACATTTGTATCTGTAATTTGCACAGACTCTTGGTTAACCATTAAACAAGCTTCAAGATGAGCAGTATTTGACTGTTTTTCTCTGTATTATTCTTGTTGTTATACTTACCTGTAAAAGCACATTCTGTATGTACTGTAAACAAAAATATTATCAGTTTAGTAAAATTTAGAGTCTTAAGGATTTTTCCACTTTTGTCAGTAACAAATATTTATGGATTAAAAAATAAAGGCAATTTCAACATAGAAGTTGTTTCTTTTTGATATCTATTGGGGGGAAATAAAAGCCATTTTCTTGGCTGCCTTCCCAATATTTGTAACCAGCGTTTGAAAGGTAGATATCTGTGATTCTGTGTGTAGTTAAATAGCATCTATTAAAATGAATGCTGCAAGGTCTGCAGGAGTCATTCTTTTTATGTATTTATTTACTGCATTTAATCATCAAACCAGAAAAAGAAGCAGGGAAGAAACAAGACATTACCATTTGCTGTAAAATTCTGTCTTGCAAGCCTTAAAGATTTTATTTTAAAGTTGCCCTTCTCTAAGTTTGCATCCATGAGCTGTGATATTCTCTCCATCTTTGCCTTAAATTGCAAAGTTGGGACTTCTGGAATGTCTGGAGGCTTCGACATGGGCTTTGCTTTGCTTTTGAACACACAGGAGTTTCCCCATCTTTCTTCCAAGATGTGAAATGTGCTGAGGAGACATTTGTGTGTCTGACTGAACAGCCCCCCGTGCTACCAGAGGGTCAGACTGTATTTTCATTTCTCCCAGCTCTGAATTAGGGATTCCTTCCTATTCTGGCGGGCTGGGAAACGTGGTGGGGATTTTCTCTTGCCTTTTGTGAAGGAAGAGTAAAATTTCGTATTTCCCTTTTCACATTCATTTGCCTTCAGCATCGTGAGGATTTGCTTACATGGAAAAATGGGAGAGTTGGGAATTGGGAAGGATTGCTGGAAATAAAACTGTTGAGACATCAGTGCCCTTTCCCAGCACAGCTCTGGGGTGCAGGGAGGGCACTGCTTCCCTCACAGCCCATCCTTGCCCTGCAGGACTTTGGGAGAAGCTCTTCTCACCCAGCTGTGCCACATCTCTGCCCCTGTCCCTTCTCTGCCACCTGGCAGCTCTGGCACTGAGGTTCAGAGGAATTCTGCTGCCATGTCATCCCAGGGCTGACACACCACAAGTCCTTTCCACTGCTGCCTTGGTGTGGTGCAGAGGTCCTCACTTCTCCACCACTCACCTACCAAGCCCCAGGCTCTGCTCTTTGCTCAGGGATAATGGGATTGTTTACTGGAAAAGACTCTGGGATGACCTGATATCCAATACCTGAAGGGAGATGACAAGAAAGATGGGAGAGACTATTTACAAGGGCCTGGAGGGACAGGACAAGAGGAATGGCTTCAAACTCACAGAGGGCAGGGTTAGACAGGATATTGGGAAGAAATTCTCCCCTGTGAGGGTGGGGAGGCCCTGGCACAGGTTGCCCAGAGAAGCTGTGGCTGCCCCATCCCTGCAAGTGTCCAAGGCCAGGTTGGACGGGGCTTGGAGCCACCTGGGCTAGTGGAAGGTGTCCCTGCCCATGGTAGGGGGGTGGAATAAGATGATGTGTAAGGTCCCTTCCAACCCAACCCACTCTGTTATTCTCTATCTTTCTGTTGCTTTGCTGCTCAGCTTTAGTGGACTAAAGAAGCTTTGAGGAGGAATACCCCACAATCATCTTCCAGAGGAGGTCCAGTGGGAAGACAAGGCCCTTCTCTAGCCCTTTGGCCAAGCTTGTGGTCTCCTGTGTCTGTGTGAGCAGAGCTCAATCAGTGAGACACAACCAGCACTGCCTGAGAAACACATGAACCCAGCAGAGTTAATTAAAATGCATTTTTAAGGGAGAAGTTTCATTTTGCCTGGCAGTTCTATTCATAATTACCCAAGTCTTTGTGGCACTAATAAATCAGGATGGAGCAATGGGGAATTAGCTGATTTCTCCACTTCCCATAAAAGGCACTGAGGAGAACAGCAGAATTTGTGGTGTTGAGAGTCAGTGATGACTGAGATGAGGCTGGGACCAATTCTTACCTCAAAAGACAGTGAATCCCACTGTTTCCAATCCCTGTAATAATTGATTTCAGTACTTAAGTGCAAAGCTCACACTTTGGTGACCAGCCTTCACTCAAGCCATCCCCACTGGCCCCACTAAGTGAGCTCTGCAGCTTCTCTGCTGGTGGCCCAAGGTGGCCCAGGTGGCCTGGGCCCCCTGGCCCCCTGAGGAGCTCCCTCCAGGCAGGGTATGACTCCCTTGCATGACTGGAGGGACACTTTGGTGGATGTCACAGAAGAGGATGAGCCCCTGGCCCACCCCAGCACAGTGTGTCACCCCCAGTGCCTGTCCCTGGCTGGTGCAGCTGGGGTTTCCCAGGCTGAGCTGGAGCCAGGCCCAGTTCATCCCCACACTGCCTGGGGAAGATCCCACCTCACCCCTGGGGGGACCAGGGCAGGCTGAGCAGGTCCCAGTGGATCCCCTGACTGGGGGAACAGAGCACAGAAAGGGCAAGGCCAGCTCTGGGCAGGGGCTCTGCAGAGGAAAGACCTTCCTGTGGAAGGACTGAAGGATGGGAATGGTGGTGTGTGTGGGGGGGGTCACCTGAGGAACACTGAGGCTGGATTTTGTCACCCACTTCTCCTTGGTGGACACAGCTCAGCCACAGGTCCCAGAGCAGAGTCCTGGTGTCACCTCCCACAGCAGGGTCCTCCTGTCCCTGGTCACACCAGTGCCGGCACAGAGCCAGAGCTGCACAGGGCCAAAACATTCCATTAGAAAAGCAGCAATTCCTCCTGCCGGGAAGGCTCAGGATCCTCACATGTGAAAATAGAGAGGATTGTGTTCACTCCTGGAAAGGCCAAATCCAGTAAAACTGCTGGGAGGTCCCAAGGATGCTGTCGAAGTCAATGACAGAAGTCAAAACTCCATCAATCACATCTTCCCAGCAGCTCTCCCACGCTTCCTGGGCTTCAGCAAAACACATAGGAATGTTTCCTAAACCCAAGCATTAGCACTGCTCCCAGCTGCCTTGGAAAGACATTGGAAAATGGTGAAGAATTAGAGGACTACAAGATAATTAACACCTTTCAGCAGGGGTTTAAAAAAAGCAGATGTTGTCAAACAACCCCAAATCAATTCTCTAACGTTCTTACAATTTGGGCTGCAGGATGATGGGTATGTGCAATGTGTTTTGCCTTTTCTACAGCACTAGATCATGTGCTGCTGGATAATCTGAGGGGGATTTGTGTCACTCCACGTCCTTGAGAGAGCTGGTGTTGAAGGGCTGCAGCAGAGGGGAACTGGCAGGGCTCAGGGTGGGTTTTACCCTCTCAAGAGCCACTGCAAGTGATATTTGGCAGAACTTAGGACAAGGCCACGCACTTTAGAACACTGAGCTCAGTGATCCAGAAATAAGGATGAAATTGTCACTGCTAAAAGTTTCAGAACACAGAGGGTTTGGGATGTAAAAAGCAATAAAAGAGGGAAATTCTGAGTCAAGGGTGGGCTGGGGCCTTTGAACAGAAGGTGCCCTAATGCCACAAGTTCTACCAGACCTGCAGGACCTGGAGCAGGGCTGCTGGGGTGGCTGTGGATGTCCTGGTGGAGAAGCAGCCCAACTCCAAACTGAGTTGGGGAAATGTTTTTCAGTGACATTTTTACAGAGCTCAGCATTTCAGCTTGAAATGAGAGGCTCTGAGGTGATGTGGTCACCAGGTATAAGCACTTTTAGGGGGTGAAAAGTGTGGGGTGTTAAAAAACTCTTTAATCCAGGCTCAGAAGGAGTAACTGCTGAGAGATGAAGCCAGGTGAGTGTCCCCAGAACAAATATCAAGAAGACACGAAATGGGGGTTATTTCCCACTGCAATAAATGCTGGATGGCTGCCAATACTGTCTTATTGCCACAGTAATTCTCTAAACTGGAAACCACCTTTCTCTCAGCTATTTTCACAGTCAAAACCTACAGCTCAGTGAGTCCTTCTGTGGGTTGAAGTTCCCTTCAAACCTGGGAATGTTTTTTGCCCACAGAGCAGAGATCTGTGTCCACAAGGCATTTCCTCTCAGACTGTAACACACTTAAAGGCATTTGATAATGAATGGAGCTTGGAAGAGCTTCCAGGAGCATCACCATTCCCTGCAGAGCAGGGAGGACTTTGGAAGGAGAGACTTTTGGAAGTGACTCACCCCACTCACAGAGTGAGTCAGGAGCAGACTGGGAATAAGATGCAGTTTCCTATTTCCCTCCTTGTTGAAATGCCAGGTAACAGCTCTTCTTTTCTGCCTCTAGGTTTGGGAAGCACTTTTTATTTATTCCAGTTTGAACTTTGGGCTGCCCACAAAGCTCAGCCTCTGCCAAGAGCACAGTGAACTCCAGCTTTGCAGGTACTCCCAGGGTGCTGTGGCACAGGGGCATCCAGGGCAGGGGAGAGGACAGATCTCACAGGTCACCTGCAGCATGTGCCCATTTCACCACCCAAAACCAGCCAGAAAGGTTTTGCTGCTCATCTTGTTGCCTCTTCTTACTTGACACAAGACTACATCAGGTCAGAAGTCAACTCAGGGCTGCCTTAGTGTCGTTCAGATAATTTAGTGTCCCACTGCTGCCTAAGAGCTCCTTGGGAGCTGGCCCTGTCCAGTGATTCTGGAGGGTTATATGGCAGTGCCTGCAGTGATCAAAATTCTGCTTGGCTGTAGTAAAGCTCAGGAGCTGCCTGAGCCCTTCTGGGCCGGGATTCCTCTGTCCCTGTTTCCAGAGCTGACAGTCCAATATCTTGCTGCAGCTGTGCCAGGTGTCTAAGACCAATTGTCCTCTGGGGAGACCCAGAGAGGGATATTTTTTCTCAGTTGAGGCACCTAATTCTGACATATTTAAAAGGTGAATGACACTGCACTGTTCAAGCTTCCCCCAGCAGTCTCCCAGGCCTGCACTTTCTCTCCAGCTGGATGGATGGATCACCCAGTCACCCAGATCCCAGAGGTTTCCCCAGCAAGGAGTATTCTCCTACTCCAGCTGCCCTGGACACGCTGGGCCTTGGGTTGCCTCTCACCCATGACTTCACCCCCCCTGCTGTGAGCTGGGACATGAGTTGTGAGAACAGTTGTGCGGCCCCCTTTGGTCACCACTGCTCCTGCCACGACAAGCAGTGATGGAGCCCAGGGGAGCCCTTGGCTCAGCCAGACCTCTGGGATTGGCAACCCTGGCCCTGCTGGGCAGGCAGGAGGGGGTGTGCAGGCTGCTCTGCCAGGAGGTGACACCCAGCACTGCTTCATTTGGAGAGTCCTCCAAGGACACCCAAATATCACACACAGGTTTCTATTCCAAGGCACAGTGGGAAATGGCAGAAGAAG